CTACTACTACTACTACTACTACTACTACTACTACGACGACTACTACTACTACGAATACGACTACTACTATTATTATTATTATTACTACTACTACTACTACTACTTCTACCATTCCTACTACTACAACTGCTGCTACTACTACCGCACAAACGACTACGGATAGCATCTTTGTCACGAATGCTGCTGCTGCTGCGACTAGCACGAAGACAAATCGTAGTAGTAGTAGTAGTAGTAGTAGTAGTAGTAGTAGTAGTAGTAGTAGTAATACTAGGAGTAATACGAGTAGTAGTAGTAGTAGTAGTAGTAGTAGTAGTAGTAGTAGTAGTAGTAGTAGTAGTAGTAGTAGTAAAGTAGTAGTAATAGTAGTAGTCGTAGTCGTAGTCGTAGTAGTAGTTGTAGTGGTAGTAGTAGTCGTCGTAGTCGTAGTAGTCGTAGTAGTACTACTACGAGTACTACGACTACTACGACTACTACGACTACTACGACTACTACGACTACTACTACTACTACTTACTACTACTGCTACTACTACCACTACTACCACTACTACCACTACTACTACTACTACTACTACTACTACTACTACTACTACTACTACTACTACTACTACTACTACTACTACTACTACTACTACTACTACTACTACTACTACTACTACTACTACTACTACTACTACTACTACTACTACTACTACTACTACTACTACTACTACTACTACTACTACTACTACTACTACTACTACTACTACTACTACTACTACTACTACTACTACTACTACTACTACTACTACTACTACTACTACTACTACTACTACTACTACTACTACTACTACTACTACTACTACTACTACTACTACTACTACTACTACTACTACTACTACTACTACTACTACTACTACTACTACTACTACTTTGCTACTACTTTGCTATTACTTTGCTACTACTTTGCTACTACTCCTTACACGCTACTCGTGCGACTACTAGTCCTAATACTAATATTGGTTCTAGTACTACCACACTACTTCTACTACTCCCACCACTGGTACTACCACTACTACTGCTACTACCACTACTACTTCCAGCAGTCGGGGGATGCCCCTTTATATTTTCCGTGGAATCTGTCGGTCTCCTCAAGGGTGGTGAGCCCGTTTCTCGGTTCTACGCGAGCGACGCGCAAATTTGTTTGACGCGGGCGAAGTCTCCGGGCCACAGCTCATTTCCCCGGTCCACCGGGGCGCGCCCCATGTGACCGGCGCCCAATCCATCCAACCGAGAAATAAAGAGCTGCCGGGGGCGGGGGCCCCCCAAGCCTTCCCCGCCCGTTCTCGAGCCAGGCCCCCCCCGGAAATCGCAGCCCAAGGAGGGGGGCAACTTCGGAAGCCCGCCCCTTGGAATGGGGGGCCCCGCAGGGCTGACCTCGCGCGCCGGGAGACAGAAGGGGGGGGGGAGTTTGGAAGCCCCTCTCCTCTCCTTTCAGCCAAGGCCCTGCTAACTCCGAAATGTCCGAAGGACGGGGCGGGGGGGTCGCTCGGGAAGCGCCCCTCTCTTTTTCCAAGGGAGGGGGGGTCGCTTCAAGCTGGGGACCCTCGAGAGACAGTGCGCCACAAGCGCGCTCCTTCGCCCGTCGCTACGGTCAGTATTGCGTCGGATCTGGTTTTCGAACCGATTCTTAAGATGACCTCTGGATGCGAAATCTACGACGTAGGCGCGTTGTTCGGCTGTGTATTCGCGGAACCAGAGAACAACGCGCAAATGGCGTTTCCCGCGTCGATGGCAAGCGATCTCGCTAACGTGCGCGCAGCCTTCGACGTGGAGCTCTCAAGTCTCCATTCGCGTCGCTGGTTGTTGCATCCAAGATTAGAATCCCACCAGCCCTTGGGGCGTGAGTGGTTTAGCGAGCTCTCTCTGTTCTCAACCCCCCTTCTTCCCCTTCGGGGAGGGGTTTACTCCTCCCCCTCCCCCCTCCCCCTGGGCCTGGAGAGGTCCCTCCGCGGGTCGCCGGAGGTTTTTTTTTCGACTCCTGGGAGGGCTAAAATTCGACACCCCTCACGAGGATTCTGGCCCCGACGGGGGGAGGGAGAAAAATGCCCCCCCCATCTGTGATCGATCGCCCGACAGATGGCCCAAGATTCCTCCCAGACCCCTCCAAGAGGCCTCCAAGAGGCCTCCAAGAGCCCCCAAGAGGCCTCCAAGAGGCCCCCAAGATGCCCCCAAGAGGCCCCCAAGAGGCCCCAAGAGGCTCCCCCGAGGCACTCAAGACGCTCCTGGAAGCCCCTGGGGCCGCCAAGAGGCCCCCAAGATGCCCCAAACCGCCTCCAAGAGGCTCCCAAGAGGCCCCAAGAGGCTCCCTCAAGGCACCCAAGACGCTCCTAGAAGCCCCTGGGGCCACCAAGAGGCCCCCAAGACGCCCCAAAAGGCCTCCAAGAGGTGCCCGAACGCCTCACGCCACGAGGAGCCCGAACGACTCACACCAGGACGAGGGGCCCGAACGACTCACACCACGAAGAGCCCGAACGACTCACACCAGAAGGAGGGGCCCGAACGACTCACACCAGGACGAGGCGCCCGAACGACTCACACCACGAGGAGCCCGAACGACTCACACCACGACGAGGGCCCCGAACGACTCACACCACGAGGAGCCCGAACGAGTCACACCAGGAGGAGGGGCCCGAACGACTCACACCAGGACGAGGGGCCCGAACAACTCACACCACGAGAAGCCCGAACGACTCACACCAGGACGAAGAGCCCGAACGACTCACACCACGAAGAGCCCGAACGACTCACACCAGGAAGAAGGGCCCGAACGACTCACACCAGGACGAGAAACCCCAAACGACTCAAACCACGAGGAGCGCTTTCTCTCCCTCCTCCTCCGCCTCGTCCTTCTCCCGCTCCCACCACAAGGAGGATGTGCAAGGGGGCGGGGGGAAGGAGGAACAGGGGAGACATGCGGGGGCAGGCGGAAGCACGCCTGAAAAACACGACGGTCGGCATGCTTCGCAAGAGTTGCTGTTTTGAGATGGGCTGGTGGGGATACGCGAAACGTGAAGAATTTATGAGAGTCGCTGGCCACCTGGGTTCTTGCCCCCGCCAACTTGTTGAGCGGCGCCCTGCGTGATTTCGTCTTCGCTGGGCCCCGAGCGGAACGCGTCGCCATGCCCGACTACTTCAATTTAAGGTTGGGCCCGCGGCGACGGTCGGCGCGGCTGCTTGCCAGTGCCCTTGGGCTTGTTAGGCAGCGCGCCTGGATCGGCCTGCTCCGGCATCTGATCTTCGGGCATCTGATTCCGGGAAACGCCATGGCCGCCCTGGCGTTCGCCCGAAAACGGCCGGCCCCTCCCCGAGCGCATCACCCCGACGCTGCAGCGGTCGGGCCCCCCCAGGCGCCAGAGCCAGCCAGAACTTACTGCGATCGGGTTCCTCTGAGCGCGGCCGTCTTCTCCCGCATTGACCTGGCGCGATGCTCTCAGGTCGGGCACCGCCAAAATGACTGCCCGCGTCCTTGCTGACCTCTGAAGCTCCTCGGAGCCGCTTGTGCGCCAGTGCTCGAGGTGCGTCGCGCCCCCTTCCGCGGCCTCGCCCTCGCTGAGCCGCGAAACGAACGGCCGCCTCGGCCGCCCGCTCGTGACGTCTGCTACCCCGCGTTCCAGCCGCATGCGCCTTTGCACCTCGTGACGGCGTTGAAGTTGAGGCGCCGATGGGGTCTCGCGCCGCCCAGGCTGCTAGACTTCACCCGCGCCCCTAGGCGGCGGCGCATCGGGGTCGACAGCTGCTCGATGAACGCGTCATCTTCATTCGCGCGCCCCCAGCTGTCGACGATCTCGACGCCGATGATGTAGTAGATCCCTTCTTCTTCTCAGTGCGCATCTCCTTCTGTTGCTTCGTGATGTTCGGCTTCGTTAAGCGATTCCACGCAACTGAAGCCAAAGCCCCGGCCCTCGTAGCGCCCCGGCACAGTGGGCAAAGAATGTCACCTCCGCGACGCCCGTAGCTTCCGCAGTCGGCGCACATGATGTTCTCCCCAAATGCCCTCGACGATGTCCTGGTCGAGTACGCCGCTGCAGTCTCTGAAATCCGCGGCCCCGCTTGGCCCGCGCCCGCCCAGAGTTGCGCCCCTCGACCCTCTCGATCAGGATGTTCTCCTTGCCGATGACCTGCGGGCCTTGCTCGTCCAAGTGGCTCCTGAGCTCGTAGGACTTCCAAGACTTGAAGCCTGGCTTTGCGGGGATCTGTCCGTCGGTTGGGTCTGGCGCTGCTTCGCTGCTGCTGCCTGCCGCTCCAGCTGCCGCCCCCTGCCTGCGTCCTCTTGCGGTCGCGATCATAGCCCCTGTTTTGGCAAACGTCGTTCTCATGTTATCCGCCGTATTCGGACTGGTCTCCGCCCTACGGCGTCGTCTCGAAGTTAAAGGCCTCCGGGCCACCCTCCTGGTGGACGAGTCGCGCGCGTCCTCCTGCTCGTCGGCCATCCCGTCGCAATCGCCATCGCACTCCTCGCCGATGCCAACGAAAGCAGTCACTTCTTCTAGGAGCTCGTCCTCATCGTCAGTGACGTCGAACGCGAAGTACGATGTACCTCCGCGGCTCGGCTTGCCTTTGCCTCTCGACTTCGCTCCGCCCTTGCCGACGCCGAACTTCTTAGCTCCTCGCTGTCCTGACTTCGGGCGCGCTGCGTCGCCTGCCCGGCATCTGATCCGCCCGCGCGCTCCGAGGCGCGCGCGCATCTTCTCTGCCTTGATATGCTCCTGGCGCCCCTCGAAGGTCACCTCGCCCACAAAAAAGCCTCGCTTCTCCCGAGTGTCTCCGGGCTTCTTCCTGGCCGCGTCGCGCGCGCAGTAGGCCTCGAAGACCTTCATCATTGCTCGCACCAGCGTCGCTGCCAGCATCGTGTCCAACGTCATCTGCTGCGTTCGCTCCGTCATCGAACTCCTCGTCCGATATGTCCTCATACTCGGACACATCCACGACCTGGATAACCTTCACACCCTCTCAGCCGTCCTACTTGCCGCCATGTTTCTCGGTCTGCGTCTGCGCAGTCCGCTCCTCCTTTTCGTGCACGTCATCGAAATTCACTCCCAGCGCGTGCTGGAACGTCTGAAGCCTGTGCTCGGAACCACTGTTAAGTATGATGTTTCGCTTCTGGTCGCCCAAGAAGTTCGCTCTGTCCAACGGGAAGTCGGCCATCACGTCATCCGAGAGCGTCGCGGTCTCGTCGCGCTCCTGTAGGTATCCCCACGGTTTGTCCTTGTTGGCTAGATACTCGCACATGTCCGTGCCTCGCCTCCGAAAGCTTCCCATGAAGAAACTGTCGAGGGCCATGCCTTTCTTCGCGGTCGCTTCCTGATCAAGGGTGGCCAACGCTTCGAAGATTCGTTGTTCGTCGTAATTTGTCGGTCTCCTGGGCTGGGTGTTCAGTTCTGCGCCGTGCTCGTCCATGTAAGCCGTCCAGCACCTTAACTCTGAACCTGCGCTTCTTCTTCTTTTTCTTCTTCTTCTTCTTCTCTTCGAGGCTCGCATCGATATTCTCGTCATCACTGCCGCTGTGCTCGAGGCGCGCAAGCGCCAAAGTGACTCTGTTCCTGTGACTCGGTTCTAGATTGGCGCCACTGTCATGAGGCAACCCACTCCTTTCCACCACAGTCTCGTCATCTTGATCCTTCGAGCGTCCGCGTCCAGCTCACTGGTCGTTCATCTTGCACCGCTTGGACTCGGTGAAGGTCCTGCTGGACGTCCGGCCACGGCCACGCAATCGCAACCACTGGCTCCGCAATTCCAATCTGAAATCTTGTCTGATCGATCAATATCAACTGAATTGTCACATCCACGGCCCCGCGCGGGCCAGAGCTAGCTGCTGGGGGGTCTAGCTCCCGGCACACTAAGCTCGACAGGCCGGCCTACGGGCCGAGACGGCGTCGGGCAGCGGGCGAGGCGGAAGAGGCAGGGATACTCAGGAGAGGAAGTAGATGAGGTAATAGGCGTAGAGGGTCAGGGCTAGGCGGACCGCGTAGGGCTTCTCGAGATCACCTCCAGGGAATCTCATCGTACATTACATTCCATACATACACGCATACATACATACATACATGCATGCATGCATGCATGCATGCATGCAAACATACATACATACATACATACATACATACATACATACATACATACATACATACATACATACATACATACATACATACATACATACATACATACATACATACATACATACATACATACATAGACACACACACATAGGTGCGTTTGTATGTATGCAAAATGAGCTGGCCAGCCCGCAACCTGTCCGACACGCTGGCTTGCGAAACGCACGAGCGCGGACTTGAGCAGTCCAGGACGAGAGCCGAAAGCAGAATCCCCGCCCCTGCCACCTCGGAGGGGGAGAGGGTTCCTCGACCTACCTCGCCACCTGCAGTGCTTTCCAGCACGTGCAAATACGATGCAGTCAAAGCTGGCATTCGGGATGGGCCCTGGCGCGGCCTGCGCGCCGTGCGTCTTCCTAACCGCTCCAGCCTCATGGCCGATCTCGACCGCACCTGCCGTCGGGGGAGGGGGCCCGCCGAGGTGGAAGCACGAGACAGGGGAGCGCCGCTGCTCGCTGCCCCTCCGCCCCCCGACTCGGCCACGCGCCTGTGCTGCCCAGCGCCAGGGGCCAAAGGGGCCGCGGGGGCGCCCCAACCCCATCGCCCCAGCCAGTGCGGGCCGCGGGCCCGCACCCAAAGCCAAGAGGACACCGACACCGCTACTCTCCGGGCCTCTCCAGGGGCGCGCTCTGACCAGGACTTCGAAGCGCCTCCAGCCGTGGCGACGAGAGATGCGCAGCGGCATCGGCACCCGCTCCTCCTCCGAGGTCGGGGCCGGTCGAGGTGGAAGCAAGACAGGCGCGCCCCGCTGCCCCTCCGCCCCCCGGCGCTCCTCCGCGGCCGCAGCCTCCGCGGACGCCAGCCCCGCCGCCGCCCGCTTGCCCGGCAGGAGCGCGGGTGCGGCCACCAGCAGGGCCAGCAGCACGCCCGCGCCCGGCATTGCCCCGGCCGGCAAAGGCCGCCGCCCCTCCGCAGGCCGGCTCTGTCCACGCGCGCCTCGGACGACGAGCCCGAAAGAAGCCCCGACGAGCCCAGAGCTATGAGCGGCTGTGGGTCGGTCCGATCCGGGGACGGCGTGCTGGCGGTGCGCGCCACAGGACTGTTGGATGGACCTCTCGGAACCCTGCGCGACCGACGGGACACACGCCAGACGCTCCCTCCAAGAGGCCCCCGATGACCAACCAGGGGCATTCCGTGGGCATTCCGTGCTGGGGGCCACTCCGCCACCGCGCAGTGCAACGTATGGTGTTTGCCGCCCACTTCCTTTTGTCAGCAATTTGCCCTTTGTCGAGCAACGAGGGCCCCCCCCACCAGCGTATCGATCCCAACATGCGTGTGCTTTTCTCCAAGATCCTGCGCTTCTCGGCCCTCCGCAGGACAGCTCAGGCCAAACAACAGGATCTCGATCTCTGGTTGGGCCTGTCATTTCCCAATCGAGGCTTGCCTCTGTAGGGTCCTAACGGATTCATATGGTTAGATGAGGATGCCCGGGTGCCCAGGTGCCCACGTGCCCGGATGCCTTAAAGCCCTATAGCCCTATAGCCCTGTAGACTTATAGCCCTATAGCTCCATAGCCTTATAGTCATATTCGCCCTAGAGCCCTATAGCTCTAAAGCCATATAGCCGTCTAGCCCTATAGCATTATAACCCTGTAGCCCAATCGCCCTATAGCAGTATAGCCCTATAACACCATAGCTCTATGGCCCAACAGCCCTATAGCCTTATAGCCCTATGGCACTATAGCCCTAAAGACCTATAGCCTTGTAGCCCAATAGCCCTACAGCCCTATCTTCATATAGCACAACAGCCTTATAACCCCATAGCTCTCACTCTCTCTATATATATATATATCCCTATAGCCCTATAGCCCCATGGATCTATAGCCTTATAGCCCCATAGCCATATAGACTCATAGCCGTATAGTCATATGGCCCTATAGCACCATAGCCCAATCGCCCGAAAGCCCTATATGTCTATAGACCTACAGCCCTATAGACCTATAGGCCTGTGGCCCTACAGCCCTAAAGTTCCATAGCCTTATAGCCACATAGCCCCAACGCCCTATTGCCTCATAACCCTGTAGTCCTAAAAAGACTTTGATTGGGTTTTCTCTGGTATCATGTACACTCCTCCCCTGTCCCTCCCAACGCTGTCAGCGCCTCCTCCCCCCCTCACAACGAAGTGGCGGAATCAATGCCCCCCTGACGGGTACTCCACTAACGGGCACTTTGGCCAGCGACCTAGCGAACCTAACCTTTCCCGATGTGGGCAACGCTGCAAGTCCCGAAATAGGTTCCACAATGACAATTTTCGGCGGGCCCAAAGTACCCATCAAATCATACTCACCGCGGTGCTGCTGACGGATGCGCGCGGCCACGCGGCAGCGCAACCGGCGAAACTTCTGCAACTGCTGGAACTCCTGTGCGAGCGAAACGGGGATTCTTCGCAGTCAACTGGGACGGTGAGGGCCTCATCGCCGGGCCACGAGTTCAGGAAAGTGGAGGAACTGGACGCGTGGCCCTGCCACAGGCTGGGGACTCGGAAAAGCCAGCAGAGATAGATCCCACAAGCCCTTTCGGGCGTACCCCAAATCCCTTAAGAAATCTTCCCCTGGGTCCGGTCTTTGAGGCGCCTTTTTTGTAACTGGGGGGGTCCGGTTTATTAGGGCGCTGTCTTTTGATTGGGGCTGAAGGGGTCCGGTTGGCTGAGGCGCCCCGTCGAAAAGGGGGGGTACGGAATAGAAGGCCGCATTTGGAGGGGGGTCCAGTTTTTTAAGGGGGGGTCGATTAGTAAGGGATTTGGAGTAGGTGGTTTAGAGCGCTTTTTCTTCTTCTTCAACCCTCCCTCCCCTCCCCCCTCCCCCCTAAACCCCTCCTGGGTCTGGACCCCCTCCCCCTCCCCCTCCCCCCTCCCCCCTCCCCCTTACACACAGGTTTCCCTGGAGTTGGGTTTTCGCTTGCATTTTTTCCAAAATGCTGCTCTCGCTGAGGCGCTGGCCTCATTTTCGGGCCCCGCTCGTTCCGAATCGTGCTCCCGCTGCAGCGCTGGCCTCATTTCCGCCGGCGCCTGCACGCCCGAGCCGGCGCACGGGCCGGCACTCCGGCCGGCGCCGGAAAATCAAGTTCCGAGGCGGCGCCAAAAAAAATACATTTCAATACACATTTTTCTTTTGAAAATGCTGAATTTCTGCTTCCGGCGCCCGGGAGGCCTCCTCGGCCGATTCCGACGCCCGGGCTGGCGCCCGAGCCGGCGCCCTGGCCGGATGTCCGAGCCGGCGCCCTGGCCGGCGCCCAGGCCCGGTCCGGAGCTGGTTCCGGCCGGCGCCGGAAAATCGAGTTCCGAGGCGACGCCGAAAAAAGGCCATTCCAATACACATTTTTCTTTTGAAAATGCTGAATTTCTGCTTCTGGCGCCCGGGAAGCCTCCCGGGCCGATTCCGGCGTGTTTCCGCTCGTTCCGAATCGTGCTCCCGCTGCAGCGCGGGCCTCATTTCCGCGCTTCCGCTCGTTTCGACTCGTGCTCCCGCTGCAGCGCTGGCGTCATTTCCCGTGCCATGCCACGGCATGCAATGCAATGTTAGGTTCATGCTACGCTTCGCGGTGCTCTTCTACGCCATGCCATGCCGTGTTCTACAATGCATCGCGTACCCTTTCGGGATCATTACCCTGCTCGACATCCGACTGTGCGAGTAGAGAGGGGATCTGCGCCATGGTAAGGGATGGGAGGGAGGGGTAGGATGCCAGATATGACGCAAGCGCACCTAGCTTGCACCTCCCCAGAGGTGAGAAATTGGAGGCCTGGGAATTGGCACCAGCACAGGGGGGTGCCTCCACAGGGGGAAGATGATCCTCGATTTCGGTGGTCATATTTCGGCCATCTCGGAAGCCAGAATATTACCTCCGTCACCGAAATCGGGATCTTCTTCCCTCGTTGGAGGAACACCGCAGATTTTGGTGTTGGTGTCAACCTCTAGGCCTGCGAAGAAAGCCTTGTGCTGCGCACAGTGGGAGCCATCGGTCACAGATGTAATCTTAGGCTGGACAGGCCAAATCTTATGAGACTGGGAGGACATCGCCCAGATCATTGTAGTCGTCGTCGGCTAAAATCGCAAGATCCCCATGAAACACAATCCGCTCTCTGGCCATATGATTGTTTCGCATGCCATGCTCTAGGATAACAATCAACTTCCCTGACACACCCATGGACGGTTCAATTTTGAGACATGGCCGCGCTCCACCCGTGCTGGTACAATATAGGGGTTGTCTTTGGAGCTCACTTGAGCTGCTGAAGACGTCCCGGGCGAAACGCCGAGGACCGCCCCGAAACGCCTGGCGGCGCAACAAGCAGGGAAGAACAAGTATCGCCATTCGTACCTCTGCCTGCAGTGCGGACGCGGCCGCAGGAAGCCCTCGCAGGACACCCGGCCCTGAGACCCCGTGCGCGAGCCGCAGTTGGTGGGACCCGAGGCGCGCTGAACGCCGCAGCTTCTCAGTGACCGTGGAAGTCCCCGCGCAGCGCTTGCAGCGAAGACACCCAAGGTGCCCTGACGGGAAGCACCTGGCTTCCGAATGCCGCGCCCCCTCCGTGCTTCGCGACCTCCCCCCCCCCGGACGCTCGGGAGCGGCCAAGACGGGGGCGTCCAAGAGGGGGGGGGTGCAAATCGTGGCCAGCGGCACGTGCGCGGCCCCAGGGGGGGGCCAGGGACGTAATGACATAAGAAGAGGCGCCACGACATCTGTTTTTGTTCATTTGGCAGAATTAATTGATGATTGAAATGTTAACCTACCTTTTCACAATAATGTCTTGACGATTGATGCAGTACCCGCAACTACAAGTTAGCCCAAAGAGGATAAATTCGATACCTCCTTGCTGGGTCTGTTGGGGAAAGATCATGGCCCACGCCATGATATCCCCCCCGAGTCATCACCCCCCTCTTTGCCGCCCCCCCAAAGATCGAGACCTGCCAAGAGGGGGGTGTCCAAGAGGAGGGGGTGCAAATCATGACCGGCGGCATGTGCGCGGCCCAGCGGGGGGGCCAGGGACGGACGCAATGAAACAAGAAGAGGCGCCATGAAATCTGAGGAAAGATCCTGGCCCACGCCATGATATCCCCCCCCCGAAATCATCACCCCCTCTTCCCAGACCCCCGACGCCATGATTTTTTCATGACGCGACCCCCAGAGGTCCCGACCCATTCCCCGGGACCGGTTTTTCGTTCTGAATCGTTTTTTGACGGTCCCGAGGCCCGGTAAGGGCCCCCAGAGGCCGAAAATTGCGAAAAACCTCCAGTCGTGATTTTTTCACAACGCGAGGGGGTCTGGGTTTGCCGCCCCCCCGAAAAAAGGCCCGAGCGCGGAGACAGAGCGGGCCAGGCCGGGCGGCCCCGGGGAACGCGACCCTCGGCCCCGATCTCTCGAGCCCGGCGCCCACGGGCCCCTGGGGCGCGCGGATGCCCAGGGTCGGGGGGGGGGAGGCGGGGAGCGAGGAAGGGGAGGGGAGGGGGAGGGGAGGGGAGAGGTGAAGGGGGAGGGGGAAGGGGGGGGAGGAGAGAGAAGGGGACAGGGGGGGGGGGAGGGGAGCGAGCTGGGGGGGGGGAGGGGAAGGGGGGGGATGAGGACTTGGGTGGCGGACTGCCTCCGACGAGGCAGGGGGGGGGGAGGGGAACAGAGGCCCGGGGAGAGTCGGGCGGGAGGGGGGAGGGAGGTAGAGGGATGGGAGGGGGGAGGGAATGGAAGGAGAGAGGCGAGATGTGGAATGGGGGAGAGGCGGAGGACGAATGGTGAGAAGGGATGGGCGGAAGGGATAAGACGTCACATGCCAAGCGAGCCGTCGGAAGATCGGACTCGAATCGGATCGTGCCAGCCAGAATCGATATCGAATCGGATCGATGGGATCGAAGCGGACCCTGTCCCGCTGCCCCCCTCCCTTTCCCCCATCCACCTCCCATCCTCTCTCCCCATTGCAGCCTCCAACCCCCTCACCCCTCCACCCGCCCCTTCCCGCTTCCGCCCCGTCCTCTCATCTGCCTCCCTGTGGACAAGGGCAGCCTGCGCATTCGCGGCCCCGTCCGCGTCTTCCATTTCCTCGTCGGAGTCTGACTCGTCCTCGCTCGCCTGGGGGCCCCAGAAAGCGATTGGCCTGACGGAGATCTTCCTGTGGTCCAGAAGTTGGACAGGAGATGGCGAAGAGGAGGGAGTGCGGGAGGGAGCGGAGGAGAGAGGGAGCTGGGGATTATGAGCAGGAGCAGGAGCGGGGTGCGACAGGGGGAAGATATTCACAAGGGAAAAAATTGAGGCCTGGATGAACCTGCGGGTAGTCCTGAGGGCCTGAGGAGGACGAGAAGGAGAGATGAGAGGAGGAGAAGGAGGAGGAGGAGGAGGAGGAGGAGGAGAGGTAGGAGGCGGAGAAGGAGGAGGGGGAGTGGGATGATGATGATGATGATGATGCTGATGATGATGATGATGATGATGATGATGACGATGAGGAGGAGGAGGAGGAGGAGGAGGAGGAGGAGGAGGAGGTGGAGGAGACGGGGGAGGAGGATGGGGAGGAGGAGAAGCACCAGTAACACTTAGTACGACGATCAGCAGCTCGTCTCCTCGTCTTCCCCTCCTGCGGCTTGTTCATCATGGTCGTCCTTCTCTTCCTCGGCACTTCTCGCATTAGCCTTCTGCTTCGTTTCTTCCGCCGCCCCCCCCCCAGCGGCGCAGGCCGCGGCGGTGGCGGGGAGGGGGGGCCAAGGCAGCGCTTCATCCAAGCACCAGTGCCCGCAGCCACGAGACGCGAGGAGCGCGCGCACAAATCGCAGAGAGCGGGGTCCAGGACCGACGACGAAGGCGTGGGCAAGACGACGACGGGGCGATTGGCGACGGTGTGGCCCCTGGGCGACAGGGCGGCTCCGCGCACTCCAGGGCCGCCGAGGCGGAGGAAGACGAGGAGGAGGAGGAGGAGGAGGAGGAGGAGGAGGAGGAGGAGGAGGAAACAACTAATGAAATTACTGCATGAAAAACTTTCGGAGGTCCGCGTGGACTTCTTGGATCGGCGCTGGACCCCCGGGTGGCGCCACAAGGCGCGCCCTGGCGCGCGCCAGGAAAGGGGGTCCAGCGCCGACCCAAGACACCCGCGCGGGTCCCCCGAAAGTCTGTGGATGATGCAGTCTCTCTTTTCTTGCTCTTCGAGGAGAGCAGTGGCCAGACCCGTGAGAGGAGCCAGTTACGAGCACGGCGTCTGTGGACCATAACGTACTTGGACTCCTCCCACTGACCCGCACCATATTCCTGTCGAAAATCGACGACGCCTTGGAGAGTCCGACGCGATACGGTGCACACAAATCGTGCAGCAAGACCCGACAAAAATCAGGCGCTGGGGACACCAAAAGGCACCGATACCGCTACTCCCCGGACCTCTCCCGGGGTGCGTTCTGACCAGGACTTCGAGGCGAATCCAGCGGTGGCGACGAGGACTTCCCAGGAGGCCCCCCAAAGGGGAAAACGAGGGAAGGGTAGACGTATGGGTACCTTTTCCTCCTCCGAGAAAAGGTCAGGCGCAGCAGCCGGCAACTGCGCCGGCCTCCGCCGCCAGCGCCCGCGCGTCCTCGGCCTGATCCTCGCGGACCACCTCGAGGTTCTCGCGCTTCAGCTTCACGCACCTGCCGTCCTGGGCCCGCCGCGCGCGGGCGTGGCGGGGGCGTCCGCAACAGCCAGGTACACCCTGCGAAATGCTTTAGAAATCATGGGTTAAGAAATTCATAGTCTCAGAACTTGAACAAAAACCCAAGAAATCTATCAAAATCTTAAGATTTACATTGAAACGTTAAGAATAATCGAGACTCTGGCCGAAAACTTAGGTTTTCTTAAGCATCGCCCAAGGTGTATGCTCAATGGATGCTGAACGGCCCATCCATGGCCTATTCCTCGCCATTCGAACACCTTGGTGTGATCGGCATCCGCTGCTCGTGGGCACATCGGGTGGGGAGTGCGGCGTCCGAGCGGTGTCCGTTGGCGGTAACGCGTCGCCCAACTGCTGTCGCACGCGCAAGCTTGCAGCGAGAGGGCGGAAGAGGAAGAAGCCTCCTCCTCTTCCTCCTCTTAAGTCGGGCGTGTCCCCCTACAGGGGGTCTTCGACGAAGGACAACAAATACTCAAAAATCCTCCAAAATGGTCAACAAAAATACCAGAACAAAATTGGTCCCCGGACTATTTTTTGGAATATTCCTCCTGTAGTAAAACAGGGCTAAGATCGGAATACATCGTTCCAGAGCGTTCCGGAGCGCTCTCAGAGCGTCCCGGAACGCTCTGGAGCGGCCGCGGCGCCCAATACATCCTCCAAGCCCGCTGATTCTCAGAGCTTTCGAGTCATCCCGATCCGAGCTTGTCCCGAGCTTCGCGCCGCTTGATGCAGAGGGGCGGGCCCGAGTGGATCCTCCTCCTCCGCCCCCCCCCTTGGGTGCCCGAGTTATCCGGGGTAACTCGGGTCCGGGGTAACTCGGGTTTGGATTCCCGAAAACAGGAACCCGAGTTAGCCCTGACCCGAGTTACCCCTGATGATTTGGGGCTCTGGACGCCCGAGTTATCCGGGGTAACTCGGGTCCGGGGTAACACGGGTTCGGAATCCCGAAAAACGAACCCGAGTTATCCCTGACCCGAGTTACCCCTGATGATTCGGGGCTCTGACCCCCTCTCCTCCTCCCTCGTCCTTCCAGGGCCTGCCCCGTGCCCACCGCCCTCCGGGGGCGGCGCGCCACAAAGGGGGGGGGGCAGCGCTCCGACGCACCGCCCTCGGGGGAGGCCTCCCGCGCCCGCACCGACGGGCCGGCGCCCTCTCTGTGAGAGGGGCCCTGGGGCGGGCGCACGAATGAGTACACACAAAGAGCAGGAAGCCCCATATTGTCCCATATTTGCTGGGTTTTTGGCTTCCCCCCTCCAGCTCCCATATCTTCCTGCATTTTCGGGGGAATCGACGATTCATGCTGTCTGTGTGCTTTTTTCCCTCCTGATTCCGAGAGGCCCCGTGGCCTGCGTAAACGAAGCTGCCCCGCCTGCCGTGCATCCCGCCGTTCTCTGGGCCGCCAACTGCCTCAACGTTGCGCTTGCTGCTGAAACCCGTCTTTGCCCGAAGAGCATGCGCAACCCCCTTTCCACGCTGCATTGGACGTGAGACCGGGTCGGGAGTCGGGAGCGGGGGGGGGTAAATCCATCACGACAAAAGCGTCGACATGAGCAAGGTCGGTCGCGACATAGAACGAGCACAACCGGCTGCTGTCCTCCAATCGGACCTGGTACCTTTCGGCTTCTGCCAAATACTCAATCACCTGCACACGGGCGCAACGAGGAAGAAAGAAGCAAGGACATATGGTCGAGACAAGCTACACCATACATGATGTTACACACACTTGAGCGGAACATCCAGTCGCGATCGTACAGCGTCTAACGCGCCCTCCCTCTCCACCCTCCGACCCCTATCACTCCTCATCCCGTCCTATCCCCCTTCTTTCGCACAGCTTCATTGTCTCTCGCGCAGCTTGACAAAAAAAGTTCCAACGGGCGATCGTGACAACAACGGGGTGGATCTGTTCTTCGTCCGATCATCGACATTCACTGACGAGTGGGCGTCTCCGCTGCTCTGATCTCTTCACCCTGGAGACCTCGTCATATTGATCATTCATATGGACAGGTGTGTCACGATGTCGTCCGACATAGGTGTCAGGCTTCGTTAAGTGGATCCTATCTGTGGGAGGTGAATAGTGCTATGCGCGCGCTAAGAGAGAGGCGCGAACACCCACCTCTGCTAACACGCGGTCAGGTTCCTGTTAGTTGTTCGAACTTGCGTCCCGCCGTGGCTTCACGAGACGTCCCGAAATGAAAAACAGGCAGAAATTGTTTGCAGTTCGACTCGGCGATGCCAACGACGATGGGCGGCGCGAGCGCAAGCGCGCCCTTATCTATCGACCGAGCCACAAATCCTGCGATCCGTTCCCCTCCCTGCAAGCAGAAGCAGAGGGAGGAGGGGACGAGGAAAAGCGGAGGGTGGAAAGGCCCAAATGGAAACGGACCCCCCCGACCCCCCGAAACCCTGACAGGGGATACCGTCGGAAAATGAACATGCGCCGAGAACGAGAGTAACAAACAAACACAGCTAGTATGTTCTGTTCAGAATATGAGAGAGTGGATAGTGACCTGCGCGCGCTAGCAGAGAGGTGCGCGCACCCTTTTCCGCTAAGACGCAAGCTGCGTCCTCTCCTCACAGTTGTCACAAGCCAAACGCGTGCGGCGGCACGCACATGGAAACTCGATGGAGAGGCGGAGGGAGCGATTGCAACGACTGGACCCGCTGCCCATGTCTGGCACAGACCCCGAATCGCGCGGCACATGTGAAGCCAGGACACCGGAGAAGGAACAGCGAGGACTCCCTGCCTCCCGCTCACCCCGAAGAGGAACGACGGGGGGAGACCGGGTAAAGGGGCGACACACTTACCCCCCAGACCAGCGATACATCGCCGATGGACCGGCGATCAGTCTCCGATAACGAACCCGCACGCTCAACCTGCAAGGCCGGAGCGCCGCCTCGGCCCGCAGGCCGTTGTTCTGCGGCTTCGCCACGAGGCCCCGCAGCGTCACCCTGCAGCCGCCCTGGTGCGAGCGCTTCCGAGGGGGGGGCACCGCGGAGGCCCGCCCGACGCGAGGGAGGCGGCGAGCGAGAGGTGGGGGTGGAGGCGAGGAGGAGGAGGCGAGCGAGCGAGAGCTGGATGAGGAGGGGGCCGGGAAGGCGAGCCAGCGAGGGCTGGAGGCGGAGGCGGCCGAGGAGGCGAGCCGGCCAGAGAAGCGGGCGAGCGAGCCAGAGAAGCAGGCGAGGGAGCGAGAGAAGAAGGCGAGGGCGAGGCGGAGGCGAAGGCGGAGGCCAAGGCGAATGCTCTGCCCTCCCCCTCCCCCGGCCTGCCACGCTCCCCGCACGTCTCACCCCCCACCTCCTCGTCCCGCTCCACCTCCCCCCTCCCGCTGTCGTCGTCGCCGTCGCGGTCGCCGTCCTCGCTGTCGTGCTCGTCGTCGCCGTCCTCGTCGTCGCGCTCGTCGTCGCCGTGCTCGTCGTCGCCGTCCTCGTCGGCGCGGAGGACGGTCCGCTCCGAGCCAGAGCCGGCCGACCGCCCAGGTCGCCCACTTGCCCCCCGTGGGCTGGGCGCGAGAGTGGGCCTTTGGTGCACGGCTTTCGGAGGGCCCGGGGGCCGGCCAATCTTCTGCTGTTCGGTTCTTTATCCTCGCAAACACATCCACATGCGTGTGGCTCGTGCGCGTGCCGTTCGCATCACGGGCCAAGTGCAAACAGAGCGCGAAGCAGAGTCGACGCTGCCAAGCATATGCGGCTCGGGAGGGGGGGGGGGGGGGCAAACCCCTGTGCGCCAGCCGCATCGCATTCGGCGATCGACGGGATAAAGGGCGGCAGTAACTAGAAGGTGGCGATGGCTCAGGAGGGAAACATCGACCTGGAATCTCCGATACGTCGATCGGTGGCGAATGGGCGATTGGGGGTGGATGCATCTCACCCTGAGCCTCTCCCCCCTAACGTTGCCCCCTGGGGGGGAGAAAAGGACTGCACAGAAGGTCACTCGGGCGAAAGGTCACTCTCACGTGCAGCCGCCCCCCCCCTCTTGGCGGTCCGTCGTCGTCGTCGTCGTCGTCGTCGTCGTCGTCGTCGTCGTCGTCATCCTCGTCGTCCTCGTCGCCGCTGTCGTCGTCGCCGTCGCGGCCTTCGCCGTCGCCGTCGCCGTCCTCGCTGTCGTGTTCGTCGCCGCCTCCCTCCACATCGCGCTCGCCATCGCCGTGCTGGTCGTCGCCGTCGTCGTCGCCCCGGTCGTCGTCGTCCCGGGGCCGCTCTGGGTGCGGCCGACTGGCCCTCCCTGGCGGCCCCGGGCGCGCCGCGGAGCTCCTTGAGCTGGAAGGCGGGGCCTGCAGACGCCGCCTGCACTTCCGGCGCCGGCGCCGCGGGGGCGGCCGAGGCCTGCCCGCGGCGGCGCGCGCGCAGCTCTCGCTCTCTCTCTCTCTCTCTCGAGCAGGGGCACAAAGGGAGGAGAGACGTTTTACGATTCCGCCCTCGTACTCGTCCTCGTCCTTCGCCTCGCTGGAGCCCCCTCGCGCGGCGGCACCGTCGTAGCCCCTGCCCCTGCCCTCGCCCGTCCCCATGCATGCGCCACCAGCTTCGCGCCACGGCGGCTGATTGGCGTGCAGCTCGAGCCCGGCACCACCGTAGCACCAGGAAGCTTGCCAGGGTCAGCGGCATTGGCAGACCCACGTCTTGCAAAGACTCACCTCACTTGCTTGCCCGTAATGGGGCATTGCTACCCCGCTGGACCGTCCAGCCTACCACAGAGCTACACCAGGGGATGCAGCAGAGCAGAGTGCAAGCCCTTGCTGGAATCATCCGAACGGCTTGAAGCAGCAGTAGGAATGGCAGGAGGGGGCGGAGAAGAAACGCATGTGCTTGCCCGCAATTGGGCACCACTACCCCGCTGGGCCGTAAGCCGACGTATTACACTTGGACGTGCACCAAAAGACCAAGCCGCTGCTGGAATCAGCCACTAACATCTTGGACCAGCAGGAGAAAGCAGCGCAAGGCTGGAGGCGGGGGCGGAGGAACAAGAAAAAAAACAGCAGACTCGGCCTTCCGCGTGGTCTCAGCGTCGAGATGTACTGATAGCCGAGCGTGCCACTCAACTGAACTCTCGTCACCTCGCACCTTCGTATACAGTGCTCACGAAGTACGACGTTGAGTGCAATGCGCACCGTGCAACCTATTGTTTAGCCATGGTCCGAATGAGCTCGCTGCGCGGCCCTGTCCTGTGCAGGGGCAGGCTTCCCGCTCGCGATGGCTCTCAGCCCACGGCGAAGACTCACCCTACAGTCGGACTTGGTTGGACAAAGCACGCGAGAGGACACAAGACCCTTCGGAGGGCCACACTGCCACAGGAATGTAAGAGGCATGGGTCGCGAGACACAGGACCCCGGGGCCGCTCTCCTCTGCACCGAGCGCTGCCGTCGCTGGGCGCGCCCGGCCCGCCGTGCGGCGCCCGCGCCCTCGTGGCGGAAGCACCGCCGCCTGCGCCGAGCGCCGGCCGGGCACGGCGCAGCCCCCTCCTCGTCCTCGTCCTCGTCCTCCTCCTCCTCCTCCTCCTCCTCCTCCTCCTCCCTTCTCCTCCTCCCTCCTCCTCCTCCTCCTCCTCCTCCTCCTCCTCCTCCTCCTCCTCCTCCTCCTCCTCCTCCTCCTCCTCCTCCTCCTCCTCCCTCCCTCCTCCCCCTTCCCCCCCCCCCTCCGAAGGGGCCTGCGCCGCCTGCGCCGAGCGCCTGGCCGGGCTCCGCTCCGGCGTGTGGGCTTACGCGCTCCGTTCGAGCACTCGTGGAGCGAGGGGAGGAGGAGGAGGAGGAGGAGGAGGAGGAGGAGGAGGAGGAGGAGGAGGAGGAGGAGGGGGAGCGCGAGCTCGGCGCAAGCAGGCCGATCGCACCCTCTGCGCCTCGCCGCGCCCAGGGCGTCAGGAAACCTCACACACACAGACACACACAGACACACACAGACACACACAGACACACAGACACAGACACACACAGACACACACACACACACACACACACACACAGACACAGTCACACAGTCACACACACACACACAAAGACACACACACACACGTGCCGGGAGGGAGAGAGAAGACCCCCCGAGCCCTACCCTGGGAGGGCCCTCGCCCGCCTCTGGCTCCGGAGGCCGAACTCCGCGGTCCTGGGCACGACAAGCCTGGGGAGCGAGCCTGGGCTTGCGCAGCACCGCTTCGGCGGCCGAAGCTCTCAGAGCATCCTCGTGTGGCGCACCGGAGAGGGTGCCCCGGCGGGCAGAATAATCAGCCCGCGCAGTCCCCCCGCACATCAAGCACCGAAACTTGTCTTGTTGTCCGGGGCGCCAGTAACTAGGAGATGTAACTAGGAGATGCGACGGGGCCCATCTCTCGACTGGGGGACCGACTACGGAATTGATTTACCCCAAAATTGATTTTCGCGTCGACTCTTCAACAAAAATACGTCAACCATTCGTAGACCTGCGAAAGTTCTACGACTTGCCCGTGGATTCGACAACAAAAAAACAATTCTGGGGCAAACCAATTCTGTAGTCGATCTCCTGCTCGAATCTCCACGGCGCGACGTAGCGAACGCCAGATGCCTGCGCAGGGACGTCGGAGGAGGCGATCTGATGGCACCGTCGCCTGCCATCCTGCAGGCCACAGACCGCAGACCTCCTACACAGAGAGAGCTGCACTGCGCGGGGGCATGCCACCCAGTCAGCTCCGCCCACTTGCCTGCAAGACCCCCCCGGAAGCCTCCGAATGGAGACCTGGCATGCGCACCGTCGATACCCATCTGCACGCCCAACGGGGTCTTCAAGAATTCGGTTCCCGAGCCCCGAACCGTCCGAGCAGCCCCGATCCAGAGGCAGTAGCAGGGAGGAGGAGGAGGAGGAGGAGGAGGAGCAGCAGGAGGAGGAGGAGCAGGAGGAGGAGGAGGAGGAGGAGGAGGAGGAGGAGCAGGAGGAGGACGAAAAGGAGGAGGAGGAGAAGGAGGAGGGGGAGCAGGAGGAAGAGCAGCAGGGAGGAGGCAAAGCAGGAGGATCAGGAGGGGGCAGCAGGGCGGAGGAAGAGAAGGACGGGCGGGGCGACGCGGGCCCGATCAAGGACGGACCCCGCAGGGGGACACGACGACCCCCGGGCGGCTCAGCGCCGGCGACGGCGGCGGCGCCGAACACGACGAACGCACCACGAACCACGGTGGTGGCGGCGACGACGACTTCTCCATTACGACTTCTTGCGCGCGTGTTTGTCGAGGGTCTTCTGACCCGGGTCAATCCAGACCCGGGTCAGCAGGAAACCAAAAAACTGCACTGCAGGACAAAAAAACTGCAACGCAGGTCTTCGCAAACCCGGGTCAATCAATATGCGCGGCCGCCTCGCGGCCACGAGCGGCTCGCTAACCCGGGTCAGCCAGAAGGGGTCTTCGCAGGATCCTGCAGGATCCGGTGCCCTGGCTGAACCCCGTTTGCATTGACCCCGTCTCTTAGGCCCCGAACTTGGGCCCTGCTCCCGAGACCGGTGCGGCAATCCGCGGATCCCCTCCTGGATTCTTCTGGAGGAGAAGGTTCTTCCCGGACTCCGGGGGGGGGGCGAGAAAGGTTGTTGTAAGGTTGTTCCAATTACCTTCCAAAATCCTTTCAGAAACCTTCCAAACGCCTTCCAACATGTATCAAGATTGCCCAACTCAGTCCAAACACCGTCCAAAGCCTTTCCCAGGAAGGTGTCAGGAGGGCTTCCTCCTAAAAACCTTCCGAAAACCTTCCTCAGGAAGGTTTCCGGAAGTTTTGTTGGGGGACTCCTCCTAAAACCTGCCCAATAACCTTCCTCATGAAGGTTTTCGAAAAGCTTCCTCTTAAAACCTTCCTTGGACCTCCCTCAGGAAGTTTTTTAGACAATTGTCTGAACATTTCATCAACAGCCTTTGCAACAACCTTCCTCAGGACGGCTTTAACAGGTTTTCCAGCTAAACACCTGCCTAAAACCCAGCGCAGGAAGGTTTTGGGGAGGTTGTTGCTTGATTCTTCCTGAAGCCTTACAAAAACCTTCCTCAGGCAGGTTTCACGAAGGTTTCCTTCTAAGAACCTTTCCAACACTGGCCTCAGGAAGGTTACAGCAGGGTTTCCCCCTCAAAACCGTCCTAACACCTTCCGCAGGGAGGTATGGTTTGGGAGGATTCCTTGCAAACCTTCCAAAAACTTTCCACCAGAAGGTTTCAGAAAGGGTTTCCTCTTAAAACCTTCCTCAGGTAAATTGTTGGAAGGTTTCAGAAGGGCTTCCTCCTAAACTTCAAAAACCCTTCCTCAGCAGGGTTTCAGAAGGGCTTCCTCCTCACAAGCTGTCCTACAACCTTGATCAGCAAGGTTTTTATAACAAGTCTTTGGAACATTCGTCCGAAAACCTTCCAAACACCTTCCTCAGGAAGGTGTCAGGAGGGCGTACTGACCCTTAATCCGGAAGGTTGTTGGAAGGTTGTTGGAGGATAAACCTTCCAACGACCTTCCACAGCAAGGTTTCAGGAGTGCCTCCTCCTCAAAACCTTCCTGGTTGCTGGAGGATTCCTCTTGGAACTTGGAACCTTCCAGAAAGTTTTCAGGAGGGCTTCCTCCTAAGAACCTTCCTTGAACCTTACTCGGCGGGCGGGCGGGCGGCGCGACGGCGGGCGGGCAGATCGGGATTTTGATAGAACTCTCAAATATGCTCTCTTGCAGTGGAATGCTGTTGAATACTGGGTGCTGCGTTTGAGACGGAAGCTGTTGAGTACTGGCTTTTGCGTTGGAGACGGAGGCTGTTGAGTAGTGGTGTCTGTGTCGGACCACGAACGCTGTGGGGTGCTGGGTCCTGTTGAAAGTGGAAGCACGGCGGGCTGGCGGCGGGGCGCGGGCAACGGGCGGGCGGCGGATGGCGGGCGGGCGCATCGGGATTTTAATAAAACTTCTACAAGTTTTCTCTTGCAGCGGGATGCTGTTTAATGCTGGGTGTAGTGTTGGAGACGGAAAATGTTGAGTTCCGGCTTTCCGCATAAAACCCTTCCTTAAACCATCCTCTGGAAGGTATCCGGAAGGGCTCCTCGAAAAACCTCCCTACAATCTTCCTCAGGAATGGTTCAGGAAGGCGTCCTTTTTTTAAAGACCTTCCTAAAACCTTCCTCAGAGAGGATTTTAAATATGAAAAACAAATAGCCTTACAAAAAAACCTTCCTCAGGCCGGTGTCGGGAAGGTTCCCTCCAAAACACCGTCACAAAGCCTTCCTCAGGAAGGTTTTTGGAGGATTCCTCCGAAAAGCCTTCCAAAAACCTGTCACAGGAAGGTTTCAAGAGGGGTCCCTCCTAAAAGCCTTGCTTGAACACTTCTCAGGCAGATTTTTTTTGGCAAGTGTTTGGAAGATTCCTTTTGTAACCTGTCTAAAACCTTCCTCCGGGAAATTTCAGGAGGGCTTCCTCCTCAAAACCTTCCCAAAATCTTCCTCCGAAGGTTTCAGGAAAGTGTCCTCCCATAACCCAAACCTTCCTCAGGAAGCTTTGAAGAAGGCTTTCTTTAAACAACCTTCCTAGAACGTTCCTCCAGAAGGTTTTTGGACGGTTGTTGGAGGATTCCTCATGAATTCTTTTCAAACAAATCATCCTCAGGAAGGTTTCAGGAGGGCTTCCTCTCTGAAAAGCCTCCCTAAGACCTTCCTCGGGAAGGATTTTGAAGGTGTTTCGGAGTTTCCTTTGAAAGCCGTGGAAAAAACCTTCCTCAGGAGGGTTTCAGGAGGGGCTCCTCCTAAAAACCTTCCTAAAACCTTCCTCAAGAAGGTTTTTGAAGTGTTGTGGCAGGATTTCTCCTACAACCTTGCAAAAATCTGCCTCAGGACAATTGTAGCAGGGTCTCCCTCTAAAAACCTTCCTCAAACCCTCCTCAGGACGATGCTTCAAGGTTGTTTGACGATTACTTCTGAAAACCTTCCAAAAACCTTCCTCTTGAAGGTTTCAGGAGGGCTTCCTTCTAAACAATGGCATAGAATGATTGTCAGGAGAATTGTGGAGCAACTGTTGGGGAATTCCTTGCAAAACGTTCCCAAAACCTTTTCTCCGGCAGGTTTCAGCAAGGCTTCCGATTAAAACCTTCCTAACACCTTCCAAAGTAAGGTTTGTGTAAGGTTTTTGGAGGATTCCTCCTATTTCCTTCCAAAAACCTTCCTCAGGAAGGTTTCAGGAAGGTTTCGTCCTAAAAATCTTCGAAACACATGCCTCAGGAAGGTTTCAGGAAGGCTTCCTCCTAAAATCTTCCAGGGACCTTCCTCAGGAAGGTTTCAGGAAGGCTTCCTCTTGAAATAACCTTTCTCAAACCTTCCTCTGGCAGGTTTTTGGAAGTTACTTGGGGGATTCCTCCTAAACTTCCAAACGAACTTTGAAACTAGACCGCCCTCCATCTGTGAACCTGTTGCAAAGTCTAAGCTTCAGGATGATCATAGATAGAAACGCCCGGCCCACCCTAACGACACGCCTCGGGGTGCGACGGGAAGGTGTTCTTCACAAAGAAGAAAGATGGAGGAGGATGAGGAGCAAGAGAAGGAAAAGAGATGACCGGACAAGGACCAGCCGCACGCGTACTGGCCAGACGGAGGAGGAGGAGGAGGAGGAGGAGGAGGAGGAGGAGGAGGAGCAGTGGAAACCCAAGAGGCATCAACGATGTTGGAATACGCCTTCCCTCCAAGCTCCCTCTTCATAGGACCCTGCAACGGTTCATTTTTACTGAGGGAACTGCCTCGTTGGGAGATACCTGTTTGTGAAGAACCTGAAACATGTCAAGACATTGTTCTCGGGATTCCAACGCCACGGATCAACCTGACTGTTGCGTCTTGGCGATCCTGAATCGCACCAGAACTCAATTCCTAGGACTTGACCACCGCGGATCAACATGACTTGTGCACCCTCATAAATCTGAGTCCTTCCAAAACACCATTTCTGGTACGCTGATCATGGGATTCCGTGAAACTACTGCAACATGTTAAGACGAATGTACGCGGCGCTATGGCGAGAACCACATTTTGAAAACCACCCGCCCTCAATCCGTGAAACTCTGGCAAATGTTTAAAACCAATGTGCGCGGCGCGAGAACGAGATCCACAATTTGGAAAGGAGCCGCCCTCAATCCGTGAAGCTCTTGCAAACTGTTTAAGATGAATGTGCGCGGCGCTGAGGCGAGAGCCACATGTTGAAAACGACTCGCCCTCAATCCGTGGAACTCTTGCAATGTGTTAAGATTGTGCGCGGCGCTAAGGCGAGATGTTTAAAACAAATGCGCACGGCGCTGAGACCAGAGCCACATTTTGAAAACGACTCGCCCTCCATCTGTGAAACTGTTGCCAATGTTTAAGCTTCAGAGTCATAAGTGGTGAGGAAGTATCAGGCGAAACGCCCAACCCGCTCCAAAAAACTGACCTCGGGGTGCGGCAGGGAGAAGTTACTTAGGAGGAGGAGGAATCAATGGAGAAGAAGGAGGAGCAGGAAAAGAGGAGGAGGAGGAGGAGCAGGAAGAGAGATGGAGGAGGAGGAGGAGGAGGAGGAGGAGGAGGAGGAGGAGGAGCAGGAGCAGGAGGAGCAGGAGGAGGAGGAGGAGGAAGAGCGGGAGGAGGAGGACCACGAGCGACGGCGCCCCACGACGTCGACTGCGACCGCAGCGGCCTCGGGCTCCGCGGTGGGCTCCGGGGCGGGCGCCGGCTCTGGCTCCGGCGCCTTTGGCTTCAGCGACAGCTCCGGCAGCCGCTGCTGGCCGCCGGGGGTCACGGCGCCAGGGGCGGGTTTGGGCAGCCTCGGCAGCCTCTCCTGCGGGGCGGGTGGGGGGAGGGCGAGGGGACCCAGACCCCCTCGCGAGCAACGAAAAAATCATGACGGGAGGTTTATCGCTATCTTCGGCCTCTGGGGGCCCTCGCCAGGCCTCGGGACCGTCAACAAAACGACTCGGAACGAAAAACCGGTCCCGGGGAATGGGTCCGGACCTCTCGGGGTCGTTTCGTGAAAAAAGCATGACGTCGGGGGTCTGGGGGGGCGGGTGGGGGGAGGGCGAGGGGGGATGGTCGAAGCGGCCCGAGGACAGACCGTCTCGCCCCCCTGCAGCTGCCTGCTGGCCCGCCTCTGTCCTCTCCTTCTCTGGCCAAGGAGGGACAGGGAGGTGAGGGGAGGGGGGAGGGGGAGGGGGGAGGAGGGAGGGAGGGAGGAGCAGGGCTAGGGAGGGGGAGTTGTTTTTGCTGGTTTGCTCACCGCGGTCATCACAAGGCAACGATCATGATTGATGACCATGTAAAGGGCACAAACTAAAACTTGGAGGGGGTCGGAAGAAGATAGTCGGAATGGAGGAGGCGAGGAGAGGGAGGGGATAACAGGGGATGGCAGGGGGGAAGGGAGGGGAGAATGAGAGAGGATAGGAGAGACTAGGGAGATTAGGGGGAGGACGGGAGGGGATGGGGCGGGGAAGCGAGGGAAGTAGAAGGTGCAGAGGAGGGGAGGGAGGTGGAACTGGAGGGCGGGCAAGAGAGACAGGACAGAAGGAGGGGAAAGGAAGAGAAGGGGTGGGGAGGAAGGGACAGAAGAGAAGGGGGGCACCTGAGGAAATGAGGGAATGGACGGGAGATTGATTGACATGGATGCCGGATAGCCAGATGGGATCGCAAAGTGCGACTGCGGCCAGGCTGGGCAACAGAACACACGTGTGCTAGCGCATGAAGTGCACGAAACGACGGGGAGGCGACACTGACGCACAAGGTTCGGACCAAACTCCACCATCGCCTCACACCGCGCCAAGTTACCAGTAACACCTCTATATCTTGCAGCACGAACCCCCTAGAACCACGAAGAACGCGTTGACCACGCTCGATCAAACCGCCTGCATCCCTTACTTCATACCACAAAGATATGTGACACGCGCTGGACGGTTGAATGCATGCTTTCGCGAAGTTACCATGTATCGCCCGAGGAACTGTCCGATAAACCACACGTCCCAGAATTAATACAGGCTGCGCTCTCGAAGATCTGCGTCTGACCACCTATTCTGCACACTGCTGCTCCCCTTATCTTATTGTTTGCGTTCCTCTGTGTCGATATCGCTCGCCTCCGCCTTCTACTCCTCCTCCTCCTCCTCCTCCTCCTCCTCCTCTGGCTCCTCCTCCTCCTCCTCCGCCTCCTCCTCATACTCCTCCTCCTCCTCCTCCTCATCCTCTTGCTCCACATCCTCCTCTGCGCAACAAGAACGCCATGCGTATCAGTTCCTCGACAGGCTTCGGCTTTCGGCACAACGACGTCTGCACCTGGCGCTCCGTTACTCCAGGAGCAAGAAAACACTACACTGCAATACAAATGTCTCTGCTCTTCAACACGACCCGATGGCTCAGCCCTGCGATGATCGCACAAAAAACACAGCTTACAATAAACGTGCCGGCCGCTCTGCAAGCCGCTACGAGCCGAGCATCGAACTCGCGTGGCGACACGAAACCTTGGGAAGACGACGGCATTGACTGCTACATTCTGGCGGACGCACTGACGAATCCATGCGCACTTGTGGCCCCCTTTCGAATGCACCTTTCCTCAGCTTGCTAGCCGGCCTTGAAGTATCCTGCAACAGACCAGATGATTGTTGTGAATGTGCAAGCAAGACTGCTGTGGGAAGAACACCGCTGCTGACGTGCAATCTGAAAGCGGAGCGCGAGTCTTGGATACAAGCTGGCCAACTGCTCTCCTGCAGTGTCAGCTGATATCAAAGATGGCCTCCCAAGCCACTGCGGCGCCCACCATAACCTCACAATAGCAAAAAACGATCGGAAAGTCGCACGATCGCCAGAACGAGCTGAGCACCCTCCCTACGAGTGACGAGCTGCGTGCTCTCGTCTGCTCCCTGTCTTCGTCGGTCTTGCTCTGGCCGCCCGCCTGGCTGCACTCCTGCTCCCGCTCCCGCTCCTCCTGCCCCTCCCAGAGACTCCTCCTTGCCGCTGCTCTCCGCCTGGCAGTAAAGGGTCTCGGTTAGCCGCCTTGCGCCCCAGGAAGTAGCTCTTGTGCATTATGGAGGCGAACTTCATGGCGTCCTGCGCTTCCAGCCACAAGCCGCGCTCACCCCGTGTTCCAGCGCCTCCTCGTCAAGCACGCCTACTATTGCTCATCCTCCCACTGCTCTTGCTCATGTGCTGCTCGTGCTCATCCTTCTCTGCTCGTCCGTGTCCCCTTCTGCCCTCCGCCACGCTCTCATCCTACTTGTTCTCATGGTCCTCTTGCTTCTCCTCCTCCTCCTCCTCTCGGTCCTCCTTCTCCTCCGCTTGCCATTTCCGCTGATGCCGACGCTCTTCCGCCACGCAGTGCCCCAACTCGCGATCGCGCTGCAGATGTCCGTCGTTTTGGCCGTGCGTCGTACAAATCCTCGAGCCACGAACCCGGCTCACCCAACTTCACGCTTCGCGCCGCGCGAGGCGCGGTTACCTTCGCGTCGCGCCGTCTCCCTCACGCCGACTCTGACTACCTGCCAAACCACCCCAACCCAACCCGAAGACCCGAACTTGACCCGAGTTTCGGTTGGGGGGGGGGGGGTACGGGCTTCTTATATGTTTTGGTCAATGCTCCCAGACCCCCCCCCCGACCCCCCCCCCACTGGAAATGAAGGGCAAAATTGAAACCTTCGGGTTGGGTTGGGGTGGTTTGAAGGGGCCCTGGGACACACAAATAAATACACATAAATAAACGGATTTCCCATATTTTCCCATATGTTCTGGGTTTGTGTGTTCCCCCCCAATTCCCATATTTTCCTATATTTTCTTGGGAATCGACGATTAATTGTGTCTGTGTGTGTTTTTCCCTCCTGATGGTTGGGTGGGTGGTGAGACTCCTGAAGAAGGACGACTCTCTGGCCCAGACCGTACAGCGAGAAGCACGACGCGCGATGGTCTCCGCGCCACTGCGGGTGACCCCGCAGACCCTGCCCGCCTGGCTTTCTTCCGGCACGTGCAGCCGAGTAATCGAGATCATGACCTGCGAGGTCGGGCACCTGCGAGGGCGAAGGAGAAACTGGAGGGCCTCCATCGATCGATCCCCAGCAGCAAGGCTGTTATCGATCCAGCACTCTGGATCGATCGAGAATAAGGACGACCTTCGCCTTCATCTTCACCTTCGAGATGTTACATCACGACGCACTGCTTACCTCGCCGCCAGCGACAGCACGACCAAAGCCTGTGACTGATGACAACAAACTGTCGCATGCCAGAAATCCACGACAGAACAAATAATCGGAATCCGAATCAATGCGCAAGATCGCTGGCTGGTGGCTGTATTTTGCCACTACCTAAGTCTGGTTTTTCGCGACGAGCCCTCGACGTCCAAAACCCCTGGCGTGTCTACCACATGGGGCTCGGGGCAAACAGCGAAAATCTGAGCACCACCCCGAGGAATCAATCGTAATTCAAAAGCCAGGCTGGGAATTCGCCAGCCCCTCAAGATTTCCACGGCGTGTGAAATCTTTGCCCATCCCCAAACGCGTCCCCCAAGGAACCCCGGCCCGGCAAAATTGGTGAGAGGGGTCCCGCCGACAGGGTCGGCCGGGTCGGCGGACTCAATTTGGCGGCCCTATCTTTTTAAGGCGCGCTAGAGTCGCCTAAGACATCTTCATGACAGTCCACAAGTGCTCCGTCTGGGACGGCCCAAGATAGGTCCAAGAGGGCCCCAAATTGACTCAACATAGCCCCAGAGGCTCCCAATACGGGTCAGGAGAGCCCCAGGAGGACAGGAGGACTTCCAGGCGGGCGAGTGGATTCTGACAATATTTTTAAGTACTCGCCTTTTCGATCTTCAAGGCGTCGAAGACGACCCAAAAGGCCCCCAAGATGGCCCAAACGACCCGCACGAGGGCCCCAACACAGCCCATGAGGCACCCAAAATGGCCCCGCGGGGACCCAAGATTGCCCAAAAGACTCCTCATGAAGGGCCGCCCCAGTAGGAACCCAAGACGGGAACTCGAAGGGTTCCCGGCAATGCCCCCCAAGACCCAAACATGCCCTCAAGATGTCAATTCGAATCCCATCCCATTGATACCGATAGGACCACCCTTCGGGTGATAAGGAGGTTGGGGGGGAAGGGGGAGGCGATCGCCTTGCGATGGCCCTGAGTTCCTGTTGGTGGTGGTGGCGACCCTGGTGGAGGTGGTGGTGGGTCGTGATGTTTTCTTTTGTTTGTTCTCTCTTCATCTCTCTCTCTCTCTCTTTTCCTCTATCAATATATATATATATATATATATATATATATATACATATATACATATACAGATATATCCCTCGATCTATCTCTGTATCTTTCTAAATATCTAACCAAATATCTAAGTATCTACCTATCGAATGAGTCATCTATCTACGACCGGCCTCGGCCCGCCGCCGCGGCCCCTGCGACAACTTCAGCACCTGGCGGCGCGGCGTCGACCACGACGGCGGCGCCGTCCTCCTTCGTGCGAGGCGCAGCAGTCTTGTCGATGCGCGGCGCGCCTACAGTCGGGCCGCTGACAGAAGGAACGCTAAATAGGAACGCAACCCCTTCTTGGCCCTGCAAGCGCCTCCGTGCCCCAGGAAGGCAAGAGGAACGGCACTGGAGGAAACTAAGGAACATCGAGCCCTTTCCGAACCCAAACTGTTTCTTATTTCGGCGTCTTGACTGTACGGTCCAGAAGGCCATGTGGGCGTGGATCATGCCGCCGTCGCTCCATTCGAAAGTGGCGCAGTAGTCGTCGACGTGCCCGACGAGATGTAGATCCACGGCGTCGTCGACTCGTGCGTCGACGCCCGGGCGAGCAGCCAAATCGCTCCCAAGCTTGTCTTTCGCAGCGTCCCGGCCCGGCACTTCGGCAGATCGCAGCTGTTCAGTAAGCAGCGCCCGAGTCAACGCGACGGCCATGTCCAATTTCACCGCGCACTGCCAAGCCACGAGGCCCGGCTCGCGCACTGCGACCTCGAAGTGATTTTTGGTTCATGGCGGCCTCTCTGGCAGAGCCTGGAGGGAGCACGTGCCACTGAATGTAATACTCAGGACATGTTAGATCATCGCTAGGCCCGGAATGGTACGCTTTCAACAATGCGTCATGCAACTGCGCCCACTTGTACACAACGCACGTGAACGTGCAAAACCAAACCGCAATCCTTGACCAGCGCCTCCGTTCATGCCCTGATCAGCCGTTCCGGCTTCGACTTGGTGGACAATCGCCTCGAATTCCTGGTGCATTTCCTGGCGCTCTCCGATCGAGCCGAGGATCATGATCGTCGCGCTGGACATCGATCTGGTGCACGAGCTCAGGGCGATCGGAAGCATCTGTAAGCGACTCCAATGCGCACGCGTCGCGCGCTTGGCGGGCGCGGAAGAAGACGCGTTGCGCGCCGGGGGCAATGTGACAATCGCGCGCAGCATGGTGTCCAAGAGCCAGTAGCGGAAACGCACGTGGCGCATAAAGCGCCCGTCGTGCCACATCCTCAGGTAGCGGCCCCACACCTCGAAGCGCAGCGCGCGGCGCAGGCCAGCGTGGCCCCCGTGGTAGTCGCCAGCCCCGCGCGGGAACAATTTTGGAAACGCTGGGGCAACCTGCCCGGGTGCGTTCTCGCGGATAGCCTGCCCCACTGCGCCCTCCGCATGAGGGCCCACTCTGCGGCACTTTCGCCCCTCCAGCTGCAGCGGCGCGGCGGCGCAGGGCGCTGCGCCGCCGGAAACCGGCGCAGCGGCGTCGGCCTGCTGCGCGGCCTCGCCGGGAGCTGTGTCGGGCGCGGTGCTCGACGGCGGCACTGCGCCGTCGCAGCCGCAGGAGCTCCTCTGCCGCGGCGGCGAGCGAGTCCGCGGTGCTCTCCCGTGGACCCACGTCATCGCCGACTCCTCCGGCCGCGGCGGCGCCGGCATGCGATGCGGCGGATGTCTTCTCTGCCTGCCCCAGCATGACAGCGCCCACCTCGCTGCGGAACATGCGTGGCTCATCCGGGCAGACGTCGGCGTCGATTGTCTGCAGCGCCAGCAAGACGTGTCGGACGCTTTGGTCCTGGGGCAGCCCGAGATCCATCATTCCGCGCGCCGAAAGAACCACCCGCGAGCGCGTCCTGCGGGGGCGAGGCGGCTACCCGGAAGACACTTTGCTCGCGCGCTTCAGCTGCAGCGCGGCGCGCCAAATTCCAGTCATAAGGGGCGCCATGTCCAGCGCTAGCAGCAGAGCCTGGCGCCGCAGCGGCCGAAGGTGGAAGAGCGCCCGCATCTCCTGCCTCCTCGAGCACCATGTCCAGCGCACGCCCCCCGATCACGCTGCCGGGCCCCCCCGCGGTGGCCTCGGCGCGCGCGAGTTGCATCCGCCAGCGAAAAAGAAACCGCCAGAGACAGATGGCGCCTGGCCCAGGCCCAAGTCGGCCTCGCGAACGACGCCCACCTGCGCGCCCTCGGCCTCCCGCGCAGCTACAGCGTCGCCCCGCCACTCCGCGCCAAAATAATTCGGGTTGTGCTCCTTCAGCCACTCAAGCGCGCGCCGGAGCTTCAGCGCATCCTCCTTAAAAAATGCCCTGCCCGCTGTCCAGCCCCCGCGCGTCCGCGGACGAACCGCGACAAACGGCGCGTCCGCCGGCATGCGCGGTAGGCTCGCCAGGAACGCGGGCGCACGCTGCCAGGAATTGCACGCGCGCCCCACGCGCGCGAGCTGGCCCGTCCGAGGGAGGGCATGCACTTGGATAAGCGGACAGCCAAAGCGAGCACCATCTCTCCATGATCTGTTAGCGCGGCCACCGCTGGCGCGAGATCGCTCGCGCTGTATCCGAGCACCGAACAAGATGAGGGGCAGCTAGCAGGGCCCAGCGGCGCCGCGACCTCGAAGCGCTCGCGCGCGACCTCGCGCCCTCTCGGCCCTGACCAGCAGCGAACAAGATCCGCCGCGCAGTCGCGCGAGCGCATCTCGTCGCAAGCAGGTGCAACGTACCCGCCATCGCCAATGCGTCCTTGGCAGCCGCGGCAGATCGCTACCCGGCGATGCCTGGCCGGGCAGCGCGCGCGGGCGAGAACAGCTAAACTGACATCTGGAATGCAAGTCGTCGCCAGG